AAGAAATAAATTGTTAAGCTAAATTAAATGATGAATTTCTACATCCAAATGTTGAAGCGAGCAATAAACTAAAATTAGTTTATTATTATTGATAATTCAAATTACAATCAATATTTATTATTGTATTCCCTATATGAAAAAATATAGTTATCATTCTTATAAATTGATAGATATAAATATTGTTATAAGAGCCTTCATTCATTTTTCCTTCGCCAGATATCCCTCCATTCCATTTAGCAGTGTAAATTTAAAAAGCAATTTCTGTTTATCTTAATATGGCATAATCGTTCTAAAATAGTATATATTTCAATTATAACTATCTCAATACTTAATGCGCATACAGGTAAATGAAAGATTTATGACTGTTCTTTCTATTAGTTCAATTTCGATAGATTTTTTTGCTTTTATCTCTATTGTAATTAAATCATTTCTAAATAAAACTGAATTCCAAAGCAAATGGAACAAAGTGATGATAGTCCTTAATGAGAATAAAAATATATCTGATTATTATATCAAATAGAGCTATGACATAACCAAATTATACAAATAAACCAAAAATTGATTAATTAATCTTCTCTATTGAAATCGAAAAATTAAATTTGATAGGAAATTCTTTTTGTGTGATTTTCTATTGGTACCCTAAATCAATTTCTTTTTATATTTATATAAGAATATCAATTATATTAAATAGTAGAAGGTAACATGGATTCTTTAAGTCTTATCATCTATGTTTTAGGAAATATTAGAATAAAATTTTACTGAGAGGAAATTAAATTAAAAATTTGGTCATTTAGAATTTATGATTTCCTTTAATATGATTTTTTAGGTTAGAAAAAAAAAAATTAAATTATTTATACTAAAATAATAAAAATGATATGAAATTTTATTTTAGATTCAAGATTATTAAACTGAATGATTAATAATTAGACTAACAATAAAATGAGATAAAATTGAAAAGACTTACTCTCTCATCAAATTATATCGACTATATGTGTAAATTTAAAAAGTAAAATGAAATAGTTAAATTAAGTAAATGAATTACCTCTGGTTAGTGTTTGGTATTCTAAAAATTTTCTGCAAACCTTCAGGATTTTTTCAGAGTAAATATTTTACATAGCTTATTTATATAAATTGTAATTAATTATAAAAATGGAAACAAGACATACTGCTGTCGTAACTAAATTACGAATAAAATTTACTTATAATAATAGAGAGAACTTTATTTCATAGAATATCCATACACAGGAAAAGCTAGAAGGAAGAGTAAAATCATTTAAGGCAATAAAAATTATATAAACAATCATAATTCTTAATAATTATTTGATCTGAACTCAAATAACTAGAAAGGCTCTAATTAATCAATTATAAATAAAGATATTGAATTATAAGAATAAATGATAAGTAAGTGAATTAATTTGAAACGTTTTACTAAAATAAGAGAAAACTTCAATATCAGAAGTTGGCTAAATATACAGCATTTTTAAATTAGAATTCATATGCAAGAAATGGTTAAAATGCCATTTATACAAATTTATTGTTTACTAGAATGGCCTTTTATTCTATTCGACTGAGAATTTAATTGATCTATCGAAACTACCTGATACAAATAGATCCTCATTTTAATTAAAAATTCTAAAGGATATTCCTTTTGAACGCCCTTTAACTTTTTATGAACAATCTGTTAATTATTTTAAATCTATCTATTACTAAAACTTCTTAATATTAATTAATTTGTTTTCTTCATAAGGTTAAAAGTTGCTATAATATTAAAATATTTACTGATTAATTATATTATTTTCATTATTCCCTATTTAAACTCGAGGATTTTAATATATTTATTACATCCAATTCTACTATTGAGCTATCTTTTCTTTTTAAAATCACTGTAAAATATTCTTTAGTCTTAATCAATTGATTCTCTTTAATTAGTTCATAAATGTTGCTTTAATGTTTCTTTTACTCCTGATTAATTTTTTCTTGATATTTTTGTGTAAACAATTCTAATTTAGCATATAAATTTTTGCCTTTTTAGATTTATTTATTCTACTTCTCTAAATTTATAATTTACTTTATGTTTAAATATCTAATAATTTGAGGTTTCTTCTAAACAATATAACCCAGAGTAAGTACCATATAATTGAATCCATTTTTATAATATTTCCTTTAATATATGGATTAAATTCTAAATTTTTGGAGAAGAATATTATTATACTAAATAATTTAACTTTGAAGATCTGAAGATTAAAAATACTCTTCTTTATTATCCATCCATTTTGCTTTGTTCTAACTTATGTTCTTAATTTAATGAAGACTTATTAATTAGTAGTGATAATCCAATTGAAACAACACTCATTCCTTAAATATAGGGTCAGACTCAATTAGAAATTTGTAGTTATTATGTAACATATTCTGAAGTAACTTCATTTCCTTGGATTTAATAAGAACCGTATAAAGGTAAATGGAAATCATAACTATTCTTTTGTATGAAAATTAAAGATGATCCTAGTGTATGGGCATTAATTTATAACACTGTCATAACAAAATCATCTGTAATTCATACCGTAGATGTTGATTAATTTATGAATTAATTATGATCCTGGAGATTATGAGGGAGTTTGGAAATTACATGTTATTACATTTGATTACAACATCATGTTTTATGAAGCTTATGATACTTCAATGTATAATAATATATTTTTTTTTTAAGTGAATAAAAAATCAAAAAATTTAGATATTATGTTGAAGGAGGGTTTGGGGTTGGGTTTGGGGTTGGGGTTGGG